TCAGAACCCCTGACACTTGGCAATAAATTTCACTACTTTAGTAGAGGACTCAATGGTTATTACAACCATACAAAAGATAAAAAAAGGATATAAATGTATTAAGTGTTTATGTTCTGATAAGGCTATTTACAAAACACTTGTTTGAATACACTACAGTTAAAGAGAACATTACATTGAATAATCATAACTGCCTAGGTCATGATTCAATTCATTGATTAAGGTTAAACATTTGTTTTGCAATGAAAAAAATGAAGCTAGTGGACATACGTCGGTTTTTATGTCTTGTTCAAGGTCACCTGAATAAACTCAGGTGACCTATTGCTATCTGTTTCTGCCATCCTGCGTTGAGCGTCGTGCGTTAACATTTGAACATTTCCAGCTTCTTCTCTTCAACCGATCATCCCATTTCAATCAATTTTGGCAGAAAGCATCTATAGGTCAAGGCATATAAAAATTGTGAATTTCATGGTCCCTGCAACCCTGGGACCTGAGCGGTTAAATTAATACAATCTTCAAAAACCCTTTTCTTTACTCCTGGACATTAAGAAGTCAAACTGTTGGCATGAGTGTAATCAGCATTGAGTCCTCTACCAAAGTTCTGAAATGCATGGCTTGGGTCAGGGGTTCTAGTGCTAGGGCGGGGCTAAATAGATTATAAAGTGAAAATGCATTATTTCTCTAAAAAAAATCATTTTCTCTGCTCCTGGGCATTAAATAAACTAACCAAATACACGTATATAGTTATGATGAAGAAGAATGTATCTTGTAAAATGGTTAATTTCATGGCCTCTGGGTCGGGGGTTCTGGGTTAGGGCGGGGCTCTTGATTATTAAATGATTATGCATTATTTCTTTGAGTATCTTCTTCTCTGCTCCTAGGTCTTAAATATATTAACCAAGAACATAGTTACGTTGAATAAGGTTGCTTCTTCCTAAATTGTGAATTTGATGGCCTACTTGGTCAGGTGTTCTTGTGTTAGGGCGGGGCATTATTGATTATACAGTGAAAAATGCATAAATTCTTTGAAAATCTTCTTCTATGCTTCTGGTTATTCAACAAACTTAAACCAAGTAATAGTTATGATGAGCAGGAATGTCTTCCAAAATTGTAAATTTCATGGCCCCTGGTTGGTGGGTTCTTGTTTGGGACTTCTTTACTGTCAAATGTTTCTTTAATGGGGGACCTATGTCCGAAAAGTCTTTGTGTGAAAATTTCAAAACGTTGACATTTCTTTCATGGCCACTTGCTCTTAATTTTTAGGTTTAAAAAAAACTTTATATACATTTTTGCAAAAACAGTGTGAAATCACTGAAATGCTAAAAATAGATTATTTTCAGACATTGTTGTTCTACCCCAAATATGCGCTAAAAAGAATCAAAAATGTCAAATTAGATTCAAAATAATCAGGTATTTAAATTATTTGACTTGTATCTTTGAAGTGAAGGCAAAATCATTGTAATTCATCTCGCATAAAAAAATTATAATTGAGCAAAAAGTTTTATCCCATTTTCCTTGTCGTATTTTATACAATTCCGACATGCATAAAAGGTAATTTCTTAAAAAGTCTTTGTGTGAAAATGTTGTAATTCATATTTTTTGAAAGGCATCAACTATCTCTTTATTTTAATAAAGAAAAAAATACCTTGTGTCATAAATACTTACCTTTCTGCATTAAGACATAGGTAAGTAAGCAATGACAAACACCTAAATATAAAACTATATTGCAGAAAACAAGTATTTTGTTTTGATTAGTAACAATCTACACTGATTTAATCTTTTCTTTTTGATTCCTATCATTTTGTTCCCCCCTCCCTACACTTCCCGTCAACAACCAACACCTATAAGAACTTACCTAGGAATGACTTAATAAAATTAAATATAAATGTACTAATCAGAAAGCAAATATAGGTACAAGTGCATTTCTTAATTTGTTTTTTAGTTTTATCGAGAAAATACATTCAATTAATGGTAAACATAAAATTAAACATATTTCCCCGAAATTAAGCCGCTTTCTTTGCTTAATTTTATCTGATCTTTTTGCACTTATATCAGCATATCATCGAGGTATTTTCTCACAACTGAAATTGCTGTGAATTATCAACCAAAGGAAGATACTTCTGATATTAACAAACTCCATTAATCAAATAAAACTGCTATAATAACTGCTATTATTGATGTATAAATTTTATTTTTGTAAATTGTGTGCACACGTTATTAATTATTAACAATATTAAGCCTATATCACAGTTGCAAAAGTCAACAGGTAAAAACAAACGTCGCTATTGTGACGTCACATAACGCTGCTTTGACGTAGAACGACATAGGTCCCCCCTTAAAGCAGTGTAAACTACCACCAAAATTATGTCTTTCAATTTTGCTATGTTTCTTAATGTCAATCAAACATTGCCAATGATAATTTGTTGAATTTTGGCAAACAGTACTTTGGAAATTGCAAGTCCTTGTAGCTATGGACGGTACCCATTTTTGATGCCCATAATATCATTTTTGTTTATTGAAATCCACCTGCTTATATGTCTATAAAACAGACATTGGTTGCTGTAAATTTCACATATTTCAGTGAATATATCTTTTGGTTTCTTAACAAGTTTTATAACAGCTTTAATGTAGCGTATAATTTCACCCTAGTTTACCGATTCTTTACCATGTATAATGCAGTGTCTTGTTTCCCAGCTTCTCACAGTGAAACTATGTGATGAAAGTGATCACAACAGCTATAATATATTCATTAAAGATTTATTCTTGAGAAAAAGTCAAGTTTAATGTCATAAGATTTCTATATTGTATATCATAGAGCTCAGGACATTATTTATTGAACAGCCCTCGTAAGAACATACTTATGATCGAAGAAAGCTACCTCTTTCAAAATGGTCAATTTCAGTGCCCCTGGGTCAGGGGTACTTAAAGGGAGGTTTTCAAAGTCTGAAAATAATTTATTCTTTGAAATTTGCTCCTTGGTATTAATAAACAATTTATGATGAAACAGAATTTATGATCAAATTTCCAAAATTTTCAAATATGTGGCCTCAGGGTCATTGGTTTCTGTAGGGTGTGGTGCACAACTGAGATTTTAAAATGGAAATGCATTTTCTCTTTGTTACTCTATGTATTGAGTAACCAAAGTAAGCATGCTAAGCGTAAAATTATGATAAGCAATTGCAATGGTGCCTCTGTAAAATTGTGAATTTGAATTTCATGGCCTCTGGTTTAAGGACAGATGATACAAACAATTTTTTTCTTTGAAAAAGATTTAATATCATGTCACTCGTTTAGAAAAGTGGATGGATCTTTGAATTTTTTCTCCTAAAAACTGGAATATGAAAAAGACTTGGAAAATATTACTAATATTTCAATGAAAATACAAATATAGACAAATCACATTCAGTAAAGGTTTACAGGTGAAAATAAATTTCAGAATATGTTACCATGGTGCTAAAAGTGTAATATAAACTTAAGAAAAATATACCACACCAGGTGAATTTTATTAGGAAAAGCTAAATGGTAAAAATCAGCTTATTTGATATTGCAATATTTTTGTCATTTTGATAGTCCTCTTAAAATTTACCTGGCATGGTATATTTTTCATTAGTTTATATTATACTTTTAGCACCATGGTAACATATTCTGAAATTTATTTTCACCTGTAAACCTTTACTGAATGTGATTTGTCTATATTTGTATTTTCATTGAAATATTAGTGATATTTTCCAAGCCTTTTTCATATTCCTGTTCTTAGGAGAAAAAATTCTAAGAACCATCCACTTTTCTAAACTTGTGACATGATATTTAACCTTTTTCAAAGAAAAAAATTGTTTGTATCATCTGTCCTTAAAACACCATCCAATTTCAGTTGTTGGAAAGTTGTTAGATCATACTCAGGTGACCTATAAGGCCAGTGGGCCTCTTGTTTTCTGATATTGGGTAGATGAAAGTAAATAAATGCTTGACACCATAACATCACTAAAACTAATAAATATCAGAAACGTGCTCAAACACCAAAACCACATAACATTCATTCCTGGAATTGCAAACACGTTTGGGGACGTAAATCCCGCTATTAAGGTGGATAGTAGTCAAAAAATGAACTTGTCTTCTGCAAATTAAACAAACATCTTTCAATGCGGTTTGAAATTTATGACAATAATTAATTTGGGCACATACTGAGTAAGTGAAATTGAGATCCAGTCTTTTCTGAATACTAGTATATCTGCAATTACTGGTTGCTATGATAAAATTGTTCACACTCATCCCTTTCAATCCTTTTGTACTATTTAAATCTTATCTTTAAAATTTAAAAGTATTGATTTAAAAGCAGTTGTATGTTGATCTTTTTTATTTTCAGTTTCGTATACGACAGGTCGATCTTGCCAATGATAAAAGTATCAAACGACAATAGCTTTTATAATTTAATCAAGATATATATATATATATAGAACTAGAATAGAAGTAGAAGTTTCCTATTCTCCTTATACTTTTTCTATTGCACAAAGAATACGTTCAATAATCGAAATGCAAGTTTTTAAAAAGAATTAATAAAATCATCAAAGGTTTATTGTTATGGTTTAAATGCTGTTCCGTAGATCTAAATCAAACCTGGATTCCCAAGTAGATGATCATGGCGACCAATGTTCACAACTAAGAGATGAAACCAATGTCTCGGATGAGTATCTTGGTGGGAATAGTAAAGAAAGTAACAGAGACAGTTCTCAGATTGAACCTACAGGTAACTCGAAACGAAGCAAAGGACAAAACAAAGAAACAAGGGAAAAATCAAAAATCCGTAGCACAAAACTAATGAAACGCAACAGGGAAGTGTCTTCAGATCACAAGAAAGGACAAAACAAAGAAACATCGGAAGTCTCAAAAATCCGTAGCACAAAACCAAAGACCCGTACCAAGGAAGTGTCTTCAGATAAAATGCTTGAACGTCTATGTGCATGGTTTGTTTTATTCATTGCTGGCATAGGATTGTACTTTTATTTATACATTTCGAAGACCGATACCATAAACCATCCATTGAAAATTCCAAAAGTTAATTCGAAATTGACAACGTCTGCTAAAACAAACTCTAAATATTTTTGGGGGTCATATCGAGCAAATCTTTATTTTGGATTAAAAACACGTTCGCCTAGATCTCCGGTCGTAGGTCTGATGTGGATGAAACAATTTCCAGATTCAAGAAAACAGGGGTCTAATAAATTACGTCACTGGTGCAAGGAAGATGATGAGTTGGTAAAATATGGATGGCTGAGACATGACGGTTCTAGTTTTGGCATCCATGAGGTGGAGGAGGAAGAATTCATATTCAACACAACTTTTGTGAAACGTCAAGTTGGACATCATGGTTGGGAGTGGTCTGCAAGAATAACAGCTTTTTCAACGGTAAGTATAGAGAATAATCTTCAATAAAATGTTACGAAGATTTTATTGTTTAAATTTCAAAAACAATTCGTCATTTTGTGTACAGTTTATGCATCTTACAAAAGCTTGGAATAATTGATTTCATTTATAGTTCAACTTACTGAAAGCCAAATTAGCTTTTTTGATCACATTTCATCTTTAGTTTGTCTGCTTGTAGTTCTATATCTGCCTGTCCATCTGTAAGCTTTTAACATCTTATTTTTGAAACCTTATCACGTATCACCGGATCGATTTTATCCAAACTTGCTCCAAAGTGTTCTTTTCAAATAAAGGAAAACGCTCTCCTTAATGCGAAGAAAATTAATAATATATGAAAATTACCTGTGACACGATATATATATATATAGATATATATATATATATATATATATATATATATATATATATATATATATATATATATATATATATATATAATTTTAGATTAAAATTGCAGTTGTTATTGTTTTTAATGTAAAAAGAGTGGGGTCAACTGGATCCGGATAGAACTCATGTTTGGATCGGGTTCGGCTTGATTGGGATCGAGTGCTCAATTAATTTAATTTTACGCAAACATGAGGTTGCAGTCAATTTAGAGAGAAATTCAAATTCGCTGATTTAAAGCAATATTTTCTACTCCTGTGACACCACCTCAGATGCGTTACCAGTTTGAACAGTTTGATTGATTGTGCAATTGTCTTAATCGATTTTAGATTAGTCGGCATGGAGGTAAAAGCCTGATATATCCCAAACCGCGCACTGTAGTGCAGATAGGTCAATCCTTCTTTGAAGAGTTGCTTTGTGTTTTTTAACTGAATGAACCAGATTTTGATAATTCACGGCTACATAAACATACATTTAAATTGTTAATTCGAGCCAGGGGCGGTCTCAAGACCCGCGAGCTAGCCAGCTCAAGAGAATTACTCGACTTTCAAGGTCAGCAGACATCCATCCAAGTAGGCGACAGTGATTGACAATAAAAAACATTTACAAGATCAATATCACCAGTTCACCAGTAATAATTAAATTTGGCACCACTGCAGTTTCTGGAACGCAGACATGAAATACTTGGCAAGTGATGGGGTTCACCTGAAGACAGCAGCCACGACCACCGTTTCATGAAGAAGTACCTTCAGAGCATAGAAAGTGCTGCCCTCCATGCCTCCCATCTGATTGGATGAGAGAATAATGATAAGTAGTACATTGCACATACGATGATAGATGGTTATGCATCAGTGTTTTCCGTTTATTTCCGTTTATTTCAAAGTAAAGGGTTAGAGATCACAAAATCTCTGTGGATCTTACAACAAATGGTTATTCTAAAGTTCAAGTCAATTTACCTGATTGCCGGCTCTTAGGGAAAACACTGAGTGCATGTGATAAAGATTCTGGCTAATATGTCATGTCACATGTTACACATAAATATGACATTATATTAGTGCTTATGTAATTTCAACGTAAACCTCGACATGTTTCTACACATTATGTTACATGATTTCATAATTTGCTGTCACTGTCAGTAATGGTCAAATTTTTGGGAATCGCCAATGGATTCCATCCTCTTATGCGAAGGCTCCATTTTGTTTTTCTTAATCTTCCCAATATCCAATATCGAATGAAGGTTGGGACGATTTGTTTATTTATTTAAGAATGGTTGCCTATCAATGTTTTTTGTATGTGAAGGCTCCAGCTGTTTTTGTCGGTGTCAGTACTGGTCAATTTTGGGAATCGTCAATTGATTCCATTTGATTTTGGGAATCGTCAATTGATTCCAATTGATTTTGGGAATCGTCAATTGATTCCATCATATTATGTGAAGGCTACCGTTTCTTTTTCTTAATCTCCCAATATCTGATGAAGGTTGGGACGATCTGTTTTTTTTTATTTCAAAAAAGGAATTTGTTTTTCTTAATCTTCCCAATATCTAATGATTGATTGATTGTATATTGTTTAACGTCCCTCTCGAGAATTTTTCACTCATATGGAGACGTCACCGTATGCCGGTGAAGGGCTTCAAATTTTGACCTTTACTCGGCACTCAGGGCCATTGAGCAGTGAGGGATCTTTATCGTGCCAACGCCTGCCGCTGACACGGGGCCTCGGTTTTTAAGGTCTCATCCAAAGGACCCGCAACTTTCACTTCAAAGTGCCGAGCGCATGGCGAAGGAACAGTTGCTACCAATTTTAACGACTAGGTCAGTCGCGGCCGAGATACGAACTCACGACCTCCCGATCACGGAGCGAGCGCTCTAACGACTGAGCTACCGTGAACGGTCCAATATCTAATGAAGGTTGGGGGATCTGTTTATTTATTTATAAGTGGTTTGCCTATCAATGTCTTCTTGCATGTGACTATGTGAAGGCTCCAGTTTGCTTTTCTTAATCTTCCATGTATCTAATGAAGGTTGGAAGATCTGTTTATTTATTTATAAAAAGAGTGGGTTGCCTACCACTTTTTATGTCACAATTGTTGAATTTTATTATGACCATGATGAACTGACCTATTTTAAGCTGAGCCGACACTTGTATATGATAATAGATTGGCAACATGCATTGTGAAGAGTTCAATAACAAATGATAAAGATGAAAAATGTAAGCATGTTTGTTCCTATCTACCATGTGTTTGTAGCTTAGTGGCAAAGAAAATTATTAATTCTATTATATTATCACCTATGGCTATTACAACTGTTTGGACATATTGTAGAATAAAATGCCACCAAAAAAAGAGGACAATGTGACGGGTATATATATATATATATATATATATATATATATATATATATATATATATATATATATATATATATATATATATATATATATATATATATATATATATATATATATATATATATATATATATATATAGCACTAAAAAAAACCAACAACACTGTATATTCTAAATGTCGGATCTACCAAGGAGATACAAGGTCACGAATGGAAATTTATATAGAGCACTAAAAATGACCAACGACAAGAACAATAAAAATTGTCAAATTTTCGGGACGCCCTGTTCCTTCCTCAGGACAAAGAAAAAGGTTAAAAAGTCATAAGAACAAAGGAAAAAGAGAAACAAAAACCAACTAGCACTACTACTAAACTACTAAACACTATATATATATTTACATACTTAGCTACATGTTGAATTGGAAATTTTTAAGAACACTATTAAAGAAAGAAATCCGGACCGCTATGAAATACGTCCGGTCTATCAGGTATACTCGGGTGAAGTGCGATTTACATAATTGAACGAATTAATTATGCTAATTAATTACAACAATCAGTAAATTGTACATTGTTTCATTCTCTCAAAATGGCGTAACTATACTTGATAAAGAATAATCAAAGAAAGATAATATAGCAGGGATATTTTAACATGAATTATGAATTATGGTCAATTTCAAATGTTTAATTACAATTTTGGCTTCTTAATTAGTCTTGGAATGGAGACCCGGAGCACCGAAAAATTTGAATTAAAAAATTATTTATCACTTTGTAGATTTCATTTGTATTTTATAAAATTTTGCGGAAATCTGGATGACTTTTACATTATAAGGTTGACAGAAGTTATCACCGCAAACCTGCAAAATTTGAACGATCAAAATTGTAAATTTGCTGAGCAATCAAATTTAAAACATATTAAGACGGTTCGGAATTGTTAAAAAAATGGACGTTTTCGGAATAGGTGGACAGCAGTTAGCAGTGATTAAATTCTGCGTAGACATCGGATAAACACCAACAGAGACCAATACACTTTGTTAAAAATAAAAACATAGTAAAAGAAGTCGTTCACTAGTATTTAAGCGGCATATAATATTTTCGGACGAAAGGAACAGCTAACAGGATGACATGCGTGAAGGAAAACCATCATTCCGAGATTTGAGTGCTGTATAAAATGAATTTCGTAACGTGACTTTACCGTATTTCCATTAATAAAATCGTTTTTATGCGGACAGAGGTTGGATGATTGCAGAATATGAGACAGGCATTATTAAATATTATTTTACGTATGAACCTGAACATTTTGTGCACATATTTATATCTAGTTAAAGCGACAAAAGAAATGTATTGCGTTAAACAGTGACTATGTCGAGTAAAGTTGCATGTACTAGTATTATGCTTTTGACGCCTGGTAACGTCAAGAATTTTCATTTTAGTGCTCAGGATATGAGTGCGTGTTTTTTTTAATCTGATAAAAATAAGCTATTTGTGCTTTTATTTTGTTGAAAACTTGCAGGTTGATAAAATAAAACACGAATTTAATGAAAATAATAGTTTCATACATTTTATCAATGTCAATTCCTATATTTCCTTGCTATAAATATACTGTGGTACAAAGCAGGGGGGGGGGCCTTCTATTCAATGGACATTTTCTATAGTTAAGGTCATGTTGGGAAAAAAAGCGTTGCTACGTGCCTGGTAATTATCAATGTTGTCCACGGACTTTACGAACAACCCTCGTATAATCATAAAGTTTAAATATGGCTTTGTTATTATTTTTTTTAAAATTGCTTAAGTTACTTGCATTTACTGCTATGTGCGGTAAATGCCAGTTATCGAAGAAGAATAGGCTAAGCGCGATAACTCCCTCTGCCCTCAAACAAGTTGCCAAAATAACACATGATTTCGATCAATTGAGACGAAAGAAAATCAGCTCCAAGTTTTCAACCAAATTAGAGGATTATTGTATTGTACAGGTATCGTTCCATAGGTTATCGGTTTGTATTAAACACCTAACGAAGCATGGGAAGCAAATTGGGCGTTTCCCACGCCTCAGCACTTCAGATGACAGCGGATTTTGCTGCATCGATAATCAACATCACCATCAGTTAATGGCGGCATTTCAAAAGCCTAAACTCTTATTACGTACACTTTGTTTATTCATAGTTAACTGCTTAATCATTCACAATCGCAAGCAACTTATTTAAAAAAAAAATAAATAAATAAAATAAAAAAAAAAAAAGAAAAATGATAAATAAAAA